GAGGAGGGGAAAAAGTATAAAAGTTATAATGGGGTAATTAATAAATTTTATGGTCTTCCTAAGATTCATAAACCTCAATTGAGCTTGAGACCGATTATATCAGGCATCAATAGCCCCAATAGAGGTGTTGCACAATTAGTTACTAATATACTTACCTTGGCTTATGATAGTAATAATTCCTTTTTTGTGAAAGATTCTTTTGATTTTTGTAACTTTATTAATGAATTTCAATTACCCAATGATTATGTGATATTCAGTCTAGATGTCATAGCTCTTTTTAATAATATTACAATAGATTTAGCTAAACAAGCAATTAACCAACATTGGGACAGCATTAAATTACATTGCAAAATAACAAAAACTAGATTCTTACAGTTGCTGAATTTCTTGTTTGACTCCACAGTGTTCAGTTATAACAACAGTTTTTATAAACAAATTTTGGGGATGCCAATGGGTAGTCCAGTATCACCGATCCTTGCACAGTATGTGATGGATGATCTTGTGAACGAATGTTTGACAAAAATCAATTTTGAAATACCTTTTTTAAAAAAATACGTTGATGACATTGTGGTATGTGCTCCCTCAGATAGGGTAGTACAGTTACTTGAAGTTTTCAATAGCTATAACCCTTTTTTACAATTTACCATCGAACGAGAGGACACCAATAAGAGTGTACCCTTTTTGGACACAAGACTCATTAGGAGAGAGGATAACTCTCTCATAACATCTTGGTATAGGAAACCTGGATCATCAGGCACATTTTTACATTATGAGTCTTTCCACACACAACAACAGAAAATCAATTTGATTCTGGGTATGAAAACTAGAGTAATAGCTACAAGTCATCATTCACTTAAAAACATTAATTTACAACAATTGTACAATTTATTTATTAAATGTGGTTATCCACCGCCTCTTCTTAAAAGTCTATTGTTCTCGAGATCACAGTTACAGGGTGTTCAAGACTTTCGGAATAATAATTCAGTAATACAAAATGTTCATTATTTTTCAGTACCACATTTAGGTGCTGTTTCTTCCAAATTAAAAAAATGTTTGTCTGGACAAGGTGCTGCCAAGTTGGCTTTTAAAAATCATTTAACGGTAAATAATCTGTTCACTAAATTGAAAGATAAAGATCTTCTTTTGCAGCGGTCCAGTGTAGTTTATTGCATCCCATGTATGGAATGTGATTTGAAATATATAGGTCAAACAAAACAAAAACTAAAAGATAGAGTTACAGCACATAAAAGTGATATACGACTGAATAAACACAGTTGCATGTTGGCAAATCATTGTTTATCCTCTGGACATAGTATGAATTATGACGAAATTTTAGTATTAGATTCAGAAACAAACCATAAAAAAAGAAAATTTTAAGAGAAGGGTCATATTGCAAGGGAAAGCAATCCAATGACTGATATCGATGGTCTCAGCGTAATTTATACTTTTTTATTAAATCAATATTTTAATAACAGGGACAGCCTTTCAGGCGACAGCCTGTATAGTGGTATGTGACCTTTGTTGTTATTTTTGTTTAATAATAATACTAATTAACAGTTTTAAAATTTTTGGTAGAGTTTCCCCGTTCTCCGTATAAGTATTACGGGAACAAAAACTTTACTATTTTTTCACTTTTTTCCTCCTTATCTGATATTCGTACCTAAAAGACAGGCGACATTTTTCATTTTGTTTGATTTCGGCTCTAGTCTACCGTTGTTATAGATTTTAAAAATTTTGATATTTGTACAATTTTCCGTTTTTAAAACTGTGATGTTTTTATTTTATTGTATTGACGACCTATGTCCGCTGTAAGTAATTTTAATTGACTATTTTATAAGAAAATTTTAATTTGTATCCTATTGTAGTTTTTTCCTGATGAAGAAACAAAATATAGTTTCGAAAGCTTGAAAATTTAAGAGTGTAACTTTTTTATCCTTGGCTGCATCCCCGTCTAAGAAAGAAATTTGGTATATATATATATTTCATTTATCATCATTTGCACATGAGAGGCCTGTAATTACATATAACTCATACAAACGAGGCCCGTTTTGCACAAGCGAGGCCCGAAATCGGGCCTCGCATGTAAAATGCGTGTATGTACAGTTATTTTCCTTTCCCTGGCCCCCCTGTAGCAAACTGTCACTTTTCTTTTTGGTCTTAGAAGTGATGTGCATATCACCTCTTATACAGTTTTTAGTTCATTCAATATTACGTAGGGGTCGCCTCAGTAGTCCTGTATATAATTGGGAGTAACAAATGCGAGGCCCCCCTACATACGTTACATTTACAAAGCAATTGCAAACTCCGAGGCCCTTAAACATGGCAACAGTGCTAATTTATTAAAGCATAGGCTAGGTGTCTTTTCCAAGCGTTTTAATAATTTTCTGTAAAATATTTGTAATAAGTGTATGCTATAGAATACTCTTCCGTGCATTAAAAATTATCGAAAATTCAGTGCAAGAAATCGTGTTGCTTATAAATAGCTTGAAGTTCATTTTGAATGCGTTTTCTTAAAGGCAACACACTTTGAATGCTGAATTTTGAGATTGTTTTTAATACACGAAATATATTTATTAAACTATTTCCAGAACAAAACAGAACAAGNCACTGCAGTGGCAAACAACGTATGTTGTTATGTTACCGATTCATCAGTTAAAATGTCAACCTCAGAGGATGAAGATGCTCTTTTATTTGTACAACTTGCTAACCTAAATGCTAAAAATCAGGAGAAGAAGAAGAAAAAACACTACTGGGTTCATCCTCTTTGGCAGAAAAATAAAAAATTTGGAATTTTTAACGTTTATAAAAAGGATTTGAACTTGGACGACCAAAAATTTAAACTTTTCTATCGAATGAAGAAAGTGACATTTTGCAAGCTACTGACAAAACTACGACCTATGCTTAAAAAAAAAGGATACAAACTTCAGGAATCGTGTTTCTCCCGAAGAAAGACTTCTAGTAACATTGCGGTAAGTATATATAAAAAATATTAATAGACATTTATTAACCAAATACAAACTTATTTTATGACATTGTTTTGAAAAGCATATTCATTATTTGGTAAAAATGTGTCTCCTAAAAATTATTTTGATAACCATACTGAATATTTGGTAATAATGTATCTTGTGTGGGTGGTGGATGTCCTGTCGAAAACGAAATGTCTTGATAAGATGGTTGCGAATCAGCTGTCTTAGAGTTACTACATGCTGTAGAGGGACGTCTAGAATGCATGCTGTGTGCACCAAGCGATGAATAACTTCCAGACGTTGGGGAGAAGAGAGGTACAGTAGTATGAGATACTACTGGCTCGTCCAAGATTTCATCGGCAAGATTGAGGACTCCTACTTTATATTTTCTTTTCTGCTTGTCAGTAATTTTTTTTAAATCAGACAATAGACTCAACAAAAATTGCATATCGGCATCATCATTGGTTAAAGCAGGTGGTTTATACGGTGCTTGCTTCTTTTTTTCAAAATACTCAAAGGCAGATTTGTTTACGACTTCCAAAGTTTCTTCATTCTGAGTAGTTTTACTTCTTTTAGGTTTACGAGTATTTTCACTGAGTACTGACGAACTGGATAGACTTTTTTTTTGTTTTCCTTGCTTTGGATTAAGAGAATCGTTTTTTTCCAAACTATCTCGCTGAGATAAAATTACATCTGATACATCCTGGTTGACGTCTTCAGTAATCGACTGTTCATCATCACTATCGTGCTTTTTCCCGTGGTTGTTTTTGTAATTTCCAACTTCATTTGGACTTCCTAATTGTTCGGGTTCAAGCTCTTCGGTCTCTTGGTCTTCCGTAAATGTTTCTTCATCAAGCGTATCGGACGTTTAACTATTCTTTGAAGCTTCAACATTTCCTTTCGGTTGGCGTGACTTTGTGAACGGTAGAACAAAAGATATGTACTCTGAGAGATAGTATGAGCGTTTCGCTGATGCTCCAGATCCAGATGGCATGTAGGTCTTTAAATGTTTCGTGTAACTTCCACGTAGATTCCTTTTTTTGCAGTCTGCGATGGTAGCTGCAATAAAAACACATCATTAAGATATACAAATTAAGCGTAATACACAGAGTGTTAATAAATAGTATAGTAATAAATTACTTAATTATTGTGTTTCTTTCCAGGTATTTCGCAACCGGCTGCAATTTAAAGGCACTATCGTGTTATTTTTTGAGAGGTCATACTAGCGTTAGGGAAATAATTGCGACAACTTCAGAAGTAATTTGGAAAGTTCTACAACCAGCTTACCTTCCTAACCCTACCAAAGAAACATGGTTACAATCGGCTGGAAGATATTGGGAACTATGGAACCTACCAAATTGTGTGGGGAGTATAGACGGGAAACACATCAGGATCAAACGTCCACCAAAATAAGGTTCTGAATTTATTAATTACAAAGGGTATTTTTCCATTGTTTTGTTGGCTGTATCAGATGCAGATGGATGTTTCTTGACCATCGATGTAGGAGAGTATGGGCGAAACAGTGACTAGAGGGCATTAAAAGAAAGTAATTTTGGAAAGAAATTAGTCAACGGCACTCTAGACTTACCAGAGCCACATCCATTACCAGGACAAGACACAAATTTTCCATTTTATTTTGCAGCAGATGAAGCTTTCTCACTGATGTGTAGTATAATGCAGCCTTACCCTAAAAGAGGCTTAACAAATAGGAAGAGGGTGTTCAATGGTAGGTTATCAAGAGGTCGCAAATCAGTTGAATGCTCGTTTGGAATGATGTCATCCAAGTTTAGAATATTTTACAAAACAATTGATCTTAATATAAATACAGTCGACACTATTGTCCAAGCAGTATGCGTACTGCATAATTTTATTAAAAAAGAGGAAGGTGTGTTTTCGCGTCCGCGAGGCAAGAAAGGAAACGATAATGACATAGAAGTAGAAAATGAAGAACAGCAACGTGATCCGAGACTCTCAAATCAAACAAGAGCTACCAATCCAGCAATTGCTACACGGAAGAAGCTCTGCGATTTTTTCTTCACAGTGGACGGCTCACTTAAAGGTCAAAAAAGATTTTGTGTATGAAGACAAAACATTTTAGCTAGATATACAATGTCCCAAAAAAAGTAAAATATTTTTCAATATTATCCTACACACAATATAACATAAACATAAAACACACCACAGAAGTGAGACAACCCCCAAATCCAAAAGCCAAAGGCTTGTGCGGAAGGGGGCTACACTTGAAAAAAATATGTATAAGAACACTGGAGAATCAAAAACTAACTAAATAATGCCTTTAAATATATTTTTTTAAGAAACCAAATCTTTCATTACTTACCTCCTTCTCCAATGTCTTTCGCAATTTTGGCCCAGGCCCACTCTTGCACATGGTTCATATGATAATCCTCCCGCGTATTGTCATACAGACAGGGATATGCCTCTACAACGCTTACAAATTTTATGTTAAATTCGTGGTCGTCCCGCATGTTTTTAGTTTTTCATGAAAATTCACAAGGAAAACGCAGTTGCAATGCACAAAACCCACGTCGTCACCGCCCGCTTGCCATTCGAAAATTAAACTTGTTCGAGATTAGTGGCCCCAGACTGGCATCACGCCACCTGCAAAATACCACGTCACCGCTACTCCGTTTTGATACGCGCGTTTTCATTTGTTTACATATGCTTTAGCGATTCCACCTGCCACTTGGTCACCACGTCACTGCCACGTCACTTGCTGACCACTTCAGTGCGCGCCTTGCCTTATATTTACAAAGCAATTGCAAACTCCGAGGCCCTTAAACATGGCAACAGTGCTAATTTATTAAAGCATAGGCTAGGTGTCTTTTCCAAGCGTTTTAATAATTTTCTGTAAAATATATGTAATAAGTGTATGCTATAGAACACTCTTCCGTGCATTAAAAATTATCGAAAATTCAGTGCAAGAAATCGTGTTGCTTATAAATAGCTTGAAGTTCATTTTGAATGCGTTTTCTTAAAGGCAACACACTTTGAATGCTGAATTTTGAGATTGTTTTTAATGCACGAAATATATTTATTAAACTATTTCCAGAACAAAACAGAACAAGATAGAAATAAATAATTTTCGAGTTTTTATTGTTTCAATGTCGTTTTGGCTGTCAAGCCCAGTGCAATTTTCGCTGAAGTTTATTCTTATTGGGCTAAATTTTCAAAATCTTAATATTTTGTTGCTTCTTATAATGTGTCATTATTATATTTTTTTCAATTAATAAATTGAGTATAAAAAAAATTGTGAAGATTTTAAAAATAGGATAAGTAGACCGATCAAAGTAACTCATTTAGAGGGAAAAAAAAAAAAAATTGTTACCTGGATTTTTATAAGTGGAAATAGTAAAGGGGCTTATAATAAACGAAAAAAAAATAAATGCGTGAGCAGGGGCGGCGGAGGGTTGATTTTGGGGGTGGAAAACTTATGAAAAATTGTATCATTGGGATTTCTGGCGAAAGTTGACGTCAGACAAAAAAGTATTAAATACAAAAGTTGTAGATTATGCAAAAATCTACAACTTTTGTAGAGGTCATTTTTTAACATAACCTCAAAATTTCCGAGAAAAATGCGAAAAACAGGTTTTTTTCTGATTTTTCGTTTTTTATTTCTCATTTCCGCAAAAATAATTTAATTTTGACGAAACTTGGTGAAAGTATACCTTTCTCTGTCTTAAATAACCTCAAATTTTTTTAGATAAAAAAATCAAGAAGTTTCTGAGATATTCATTTTTTTCGGCCTGAAACACTTTTTTTTCAAAGAAAAATTCTACTTAAAAAAATCATCGTACAGAGTTCTGCCGGTAATCATTTTTTTCGTTTTGACATATACTTTTTGGTGAAATAAAAAAATTTGTAATCACAGTTCAAAAACATGCTCAAAAATGCAAAAAAGTAAAAAATGACTTGCAGCAATGAATTTTTCAGTAATTGTTGATAATTTGTTTAAATTTAAAAAAAAATCAAAAACTGATTACACCATTCAATTGTACGGAAAAAATACAAAAAAAACTGTCTCATTGTTTGACCCAAAACTATTTTTATACAGTATTGCTATAAACATAAGTCGAATAGTGAATAAATAAAATAAATAATATTTTTTTTTCCGTAGGATCGATTAGTGTACTTATTTTTTTTAAAGTTTGATGAATTCATAGATATACAGTGTGTCCAAGATAAGGATGGGATAGCATTAGGATCTAGGAAACGGTAAGAGATACGGGGTGGCTCAGATTAGAAAAAAAGTTGTGTTTTTTTATACCTAACAATATGCTGTTTAGAAAGTTTTAAAATTCCGGGTAGTTTCGGAGATATCCGGAAAAACCCGAAATTTTGCAAAATTGTTTAATTTTTTCTGGCTTTATTTGAAAACGAATTTTAAATTAAATAACATATTTACAATGCCACTTTTTTCGCTCTATATAATGGCGTCAACATTTTTGCAATCCGACGTTTCGTCTTCGAGGGGCCATCATCGGGTTAACTTTTTTAAATACGTCGCTGCTATTTTTATGACAAAATCTAGTCATTTTTAATTCCGAATTAGAGGATATTACTATTGTAATCGCTTAAAAAGTTTTCAGCTTGTTTTAGCTATAATTTAAAATTTTTCCCGAGTACGGCTCTGAACGCTTTCAAAATATCTATTGGATGAAATCATAACAGTATAAAAGTCAATACCGCATAAAATATCCAACAATTTTTTACTACTATTAGCAATACTAATTAGAAACAATAAAATATTTCATAAATTCGTATTCGTAAAAATTTTTAATGATAGCTAAAAATATTTTTAAGCGATTACAATACTAATATCATCTAATGCAGAATTAAAAATGACTAGATTTTGTCATAAAAATAGCAGCGATATATTTAAAAAAATTAATCAGATGATGGACCCTCGAAGACGAAACGTCGGATTGCAAGAATGTTGACGCCATTGGATAGAGCGAAAAAAGTGGCAATGTAAATATGCAATTTATTTAAAATTCGTTTTCAAATAAAGCCAGAAAAAAATAAATCGATTTTGCAAAATTTCGGGTATTCGGATTTCGCGTCAACAGCAGACTTTGCAGTTAATACTTTGTATTATTGAAATCTCAAATCGTCCAGAGATAATTTAGCATTTAACCATTTGTCATTCGACTTAGATGTTTATAGCAATCAGGGTCGTCTTAAGCGCCCGGGCGGGCGGGCGGCCATTTTTTCGAGGGCGGCCAAATACAGCTAATGGTAAGGTACGTGTTAAAGTCAATTGCACATAATGTGCATCTTAGCTCTCAGTTCTCATCTCACTCTCAGTGTCTCTATCTCGCTCACACTGAATAGACGTTTCTTACACTGTTTATTACGCATAAAAAAATTCTAGTTACGGTACATTTACATTAATTTGGCACATGAGAAATTATAACTTTTATTACGATAAGTAAGTGCACGTAGCCTTAAAAACTTTTATTATTCTTATTTATCAAGGGGCCAGTGGCCTTAAAAGGTAAAGTTTTATTTAATTTAAAAAAAAATAAGTTCAGGATCATACACGTATATAGTCTTCATTTCAATCTCATTTGATTTTGCACATAGTAGTTTCCCATAATTTTCTACTGGATGAAAAAAAATTCAAAAAGGCAAGAATATTCCTAATAAGCGTTAAAAAGTTTTTTATCGAAAAAATGCACCTAAAAAAGAATCTAATAAAAAATGTGCAGGGAGTAGTTTATTCCAACGTCTTATAATAGGACGAGGACAATAAAAAATACTCGTCTAGAAAAAGCTTTATCAGCCTACATATCATGACAAATTTCACTTTCTAAATTTCAAACTGTTTCGAAATAAATAAATAAAACTTTACATATTTCACCCCCTTTTAAGAGGTCGTAACTCCTCTAGGGGGCTTTAAATCAAAAAAATTTATATGAAATACCCCTATTAAAAGTATTTAAACCCTCAAATTTTTTGCACATTATTCGGGATCACCCTGTACATATATGTAGGTTTTATACACATTGAAAGGGTCTCACCGGGTTTCCACGTGAAATCTGCACTGGCGTGTTTTTTAACAATGGTGTTTTCAGTGTGTTGCTTGTTGATAGAAATAACTTTTGACCAATTATCAGAGCTCTATCTTTGCTCATTTTTAAAAAAATGGTGTGCAACCCTTAACTTCAAAATCATTTTTCTATAAAACTATGATAGATATTTTAATAAATCCAACGGCATATGGAAGCTACTGATAAGAATTATATTGCATATTTTTTTCATAGTTTTTCAACTATATAAACAGTGAGAAAAAAAATTCAAAAAATGAAGGGTGGTTTTTTGTGGCTGTTTCTCGAGATACACTAACCAAAAAAATCACGTATAATCAGTGAGTCTTAAGCTACAATGCATAGCAGTTACATAGATCTGCGATGGGGGGATCATATTCAAAATAATCATTTTATATTGCTAGGTACAGTATTGTGAACTCATACTTGTTAGAACTTTAGAATATACCAGGACAGTGATGTGTGAAATCTTTGTGAATTTGCAATATTTGTGTAAGTTTTAACTGACGTATTACACTTACAGATGTTATATAAAAAGATATAGGTATTCGATTTTGTCAAAATTAGTCTGAAAATTAAATCTTTATGGTATGCCTGTAGACTCAATTGGAACAAATGGAACAAAACCAATTGCGCGTGCGCAAGCTAACAGCTGATCCAGTCTGTTCTACAAGTTCTACATTGTTCATGGGTGAATGATTCGTTTCTATATTTTAAAAATAATTATAAATAAATATTAAATATGTGACCGAAGATTTTATTGTATGTTGAAAATTAAAAAAATCACTATGAAAAAAATATGCAATATAATTCTTATCAGTAGCTTTCATATGCCGTTGGATTTATTCAAATATCTATCATAGTTTTATAGAAAAAAGATTTTGAAGTTAAGGGTTGCAACCTAATTTTTTAAAAATGAGCAAAGATTGAACTCTGATAATTGGTCAAAAGTTATTTCTATCAACAAGCAACACACTGAAGACACCATTGTTAAAAAACACGCCAGTGCAGATTTCACGTGGAAACCCGGTGAGACCCTTTAGCCAAATGATTTATTGCATAAATATATTCGTAATTCAAACTTCAACCTACAAACAAAATTAGGTATATGTTTTGCTTTAATTCTAAATTTATTTATACTACAACCAATACAATCACAAATAAAATATAAAATATCTTATCTCGTAAGAGAACAGATTTGGAGGTAAATGTAAACGGTAAAAAGTAATTTTATTGGCATTGACCTGAACCTTATTTATTGTCACCATCTGACATACACGTGTGGCGTCCGGTGTCTTTGCGTTTTCTCAAATACCTACATAATAAACAGAACCATTTTTTATAGTTTTAGGACTGTAAATTATATAAATTCTAATCTAAGTAAATCTTGAGATTTATTAAATGATAATGCCTCTCTC